TCCTTCTGTGTGCATGTGTGTATTATGAGACTGTTCTGAGCCCATACATTTGACTTATTTATACTATTCTGCAGATGTACACTCTTAGGACCCACTTTCAGGTGAAAATGAATCACTTGGATTTCGTTTCACCACAGTTGTTTCAACTCTGAAAGTTTGCAAAAAAAACTTTTTCTGTGTTTTGCAACACTATTGACGTAGCATTGGATTTGTTATTGTGTCACCAGCAAGGACTGGTGGTGCAGTGAGTGATCGAAAGTTACAAGGCTGTAACGGGGGGAACAACAGTGGGCTAGCTTGACAAAAACAACAACACAGTTCTACTTTGTAGCCATCCTAGGACAGTCAGCTGGGTAAACATGACCCAAGGGCAAGTCTGTAAAACGTATGCTTTAGGTACTTTCAGAAAATAAATCTTATATGTCCTGTACACTTTAATCATGCTCTTGTATGACCTTTTAGTTGTGTATATTTTAAATAACTACAATAATACATACTAAGTTCCTGATGTGGCCGTATATCGGAATGAAGTGTGTGTGTGTGTGTGTGTGTGTGTGTGTGTGTGTGTGGATGTGTGTGTGTGTGTGTGTGTGTGTGTGTGTGTGTGTGTGTGTGTGTGTGTGTGTGTGTGTGTGTGTGTGTGTGGTGTGTGTGTGTGGTGTGTGTGTGTGTGTGTGTGTGTGTGTGTGTGTGTGTGTGTGTGTGTGTGTGTGTGTGTGTGGTGTGTGTGTGTGTGTGTGTGTGTGGTGTGTGTGTGTGTGTGTGTGTGTGTGTGTGTGTGTGTGTGTGTGTGTGTGTGTGTGTGTGTGTGTGTCATTGATTTAAGGACAGCACAAAGTCTACACATATTTAAAGTAGCACTTAAAATGTTTGGCTTAGTTAAATCCAAACCGGTAGCACTCAAAGTGGTTTAGCTTATTAAAAGCACCTGCAGGATTCTTGCTTTTTATAAACAATATTTATTGTTGAATGCACTTATTGTACTTTGGTAAAAAGCGTCATCAAAATTTGATAAACTGCACTGTTGCGCAGTATATAGGTTTTTACTTAGTGAAGATGTTTAAAAATGTGCAACTGGTTACATTTAAAAAAGGATATAACTGATGTACTTCTTTAACCAGATAAGTGAATGGTGCAGGAATGCTTTTGAATGCTTTTTTGGTTAGCAGCCTGACAAAAGGATGTGAGAGAACTTCAGAGATGTTTTTGTCTTTTTCTTCTACAACATTAAATACAAAATACTAGCCCCTCATGATTGTCCAAAGCCTATGTGTCATAAAACAGCGGTTGCTAACAAGTCACTAAATCAGACAACTATTACAACTATGTACTTAAAGGTATACTTGACTAGAATAAACGTTGTTTGTTTATTCTTTGCAAACCATGAAGCAAGCTTGCATAAACAAGAAAACAATGTATTATTACTTTCTATTATGCTTGCCAACTCTTCCTGATTGTGCTTTGTTTATGCCAGTGGTTCTCAAACCTTTTCTGTTTGGAGAAAAAAAAAAGTCGGGCCCCCCAACACAAATAGTCACGTAATGGACCAAGTTAACATTTATTAAAATACATCAATATGAACGTGAGCATTCCTTTAAAAAAATAGAACAGTGACTCTCTCTCTCTCTCGCTCGCACACAAAATGGCTCGTTCCACACACACACAGAGCCGAGCTTGAATGAAACACAGAGACCCAGACGTACTTGTACTGTACTGTATCATATTATTTTTGAATCAATAATTTTCCAAATGTTCATATCCATTTTTCCTCCTGGTCTCTCGTTCCCCCCCCTGCCCCCCTGGCATGCCTCTGCCCCCCCAGGGGGGGGCGCGCCCCCCACTTTGAGAAACACTGGTTTATGCCAAGAGGGAACATGTATTAGTAATTCTACAATCAATATGAACTTGTGTATGTGCTTAAAGAATATCTTGGTGTCTTCCACACACACAGACATGACCTTAGACGTGTAACTCGCTTAGTAAATCATTTTTCCGGTGTCTACTCATGCATTGTGAATGAAAATGGATCTGTGAAGAATCCATTATAAATGTCTGAGGCCTGTTTTGTTCAGCAAAATTGCTTGTCTTGTTTCTCTCACTGTAATTTGTCCTGTTGGCTTGCATGTCATATTAACTGGTCTGGTACCCAAGCATCCAAATAAACATTTAAATTGAACAAGTGATCCACAACATTTGATTAGTGAAGCATTGATGACAATCTTTGTAATTGGTGCCCATTTTTCTCTAGTTGCATCTCCTGAAAAAATGTATCATTTCATCTATGTTAATAGTGTACTACTGTTATATCGCTAACAATCTTACACAAAATAATCTAAATGTTAATTATAACCATTAACTAGGCAATTTCTTCTTATCTGTATTGCATACGCTTTATTTTCATTCCTCTGTCTCTCTCTCATTCTTTATAAAGCATTTTACACACGACAATTAATTAACTGATTCACAAAATAAAATAACAATCAAACATCTCTTCTCTTTTTGTGAAATTAAAAACTCATGAGTTTTTCACAGACTGCTGCCTCTAAAAGAGAAAAATGGTGATGAAGATCACCCTCGTTGTAAATAAACCAATAGCTAATAAGGTTCATCTGTAGTCCCAATAGGAAGGTTTTTGCAACATTAATGGACTAATGTTGTCTACACAATGCTTCAACAAACACAACAGTCCAACACAATTCAGTATAATACAGTAAAATACATTAGAAAACTGGCAGTGCCACAAATGAAGATTATGCTGATTGCAGAAGAGATATGTTGATTGGCAGATATAAAAACTAATGTACTCATGAGTAAAAACAACACGGGTTGTTTTGGTAGACAGAGATTGAATTTTGCAGCTAAAGTCTGACACCTATTCTCTTCCAACTGATCATGATGACTAATTCATGCTAATTACCAAGGCAGTGTTACAAATGAGAAACAAGTGAGATAAATGGAGTGATTAGAGGACAAATAACACCAGACATTAATTACAGAATGCTGTTAATTAGCGTCACTAATGGAATTGTTTTTGTAGATTTGTTTGGATGTTCGACACGTCGCCTCTCAATTTCCCCCTCTCCGTCTTTTTCATTATTCACTTGTTTTTGTGACGCAAGGATTAATGGTGTGTGTCTTGTTGTTGTTGTCTGTCAATGCGCTCCTCAACTCGCACTCTGACACAAAATCACTCTTTTGTTTTGTGAATGAGACAAGCCCTCTTTCTTTGCATTAGGAACACATGATTGGGGAACATTTTTAATCTTTTCACTTTTATTTAGACGAAAATTGCAATTGAGAAATGATTCACATTATTGGAGGGCGTTATCATTTTTGCATCGTTATTCCTTTTATCATTGTAAGACATATTTCATCGTGGTGTGATTTATTTTCTTTTCGGATCTGTACTAAACAAATGTGTTTTTATAAAGTCAACCTAATACGATTGATATGCTTCCCATAATCCATATATTGTGATTAAATTCAAATTCATTTTCCAGCCCTAATGAGCATGTGAACCATCTGCACACCATTACACACTCAAAAAACCACGGCAAATGTGGTCAAGATGCATTAATGTGATACTCCACCTGCATTGAAGTGTGTGTTAGTGCGTGTCTAGCTCTCTCTATGCAGGGCATTCTGGGTAATGGGACTGATGCTTCACAGCCAGCAGCAGCTCATGGCTCAACTGGTGCTGAAGCTTCCGCTAGCCAACATGTAATGAGAGCTAATGGACTCAGCTTGTGTTTGCCTTCCATCCCTCTCCTCTTTCATTATTTCTCTCCCACCATCCGACACTCCGCCGCGACATTCCCTCCTATCTCTTTGTCCTTGTTTGACACCATCCTGAGTGCTACTTCATTGCACCCCCACCCCCCCTCAGGCTATATTCTGCAGTCACGTGATCGGGCCCAAGTTTGTTTTATGCACCACCTCCCCTCTTTGTCTTCTCCTCACATGACCTCTCCCTCTCTCACACATAGCATATCTCTGTATTGTTTGTCTAGCCCAGAGGCCTGTACGATGAAGCGGGTTTTTCGCTTAGCGAGCTAACTTCAGGGAAAACTCTGGGTTTCCGGTCCTACAACGCTGGTTTTCTTCTTAGCGGTCTAGATCTCCATGTTAACTTATGCTGAGCGGCTAACCTGGTCCGGAGCAACATCATCACTCCAATCTGACTTCAGAGGATCTTTCTGTACACATTGATATGGATGAGTTTGCTTGCAATCGGTGTGTGTTACCCTACTGCTGTTTATTTCATAACGGACAGCCAGATGGTGTGAGTGTGGAAAAAAACGACAAATCTCAACTTGGCAGTATTAAACGTAAAAGTCATTTCTCAGCCTTTGGCAGAAAAAGCTCCATCATTCCCATTACCAGTGTAATTTCCCCATCATTAATAATACTGTGTGTGTGTGTGTGTGTGTGTGTGTGTGTGTGTGTGTTGTGTGTGTGTGTGTGTGTGTGTGTGTGTGTGTGGTGTGTGTGTGTGTGGTGTGTGTGTGTGTGTGTGTGTGTGTGTGTGTGTGTGTGTGTGTGTGTGTGTGTGTGTGTGTGTGGTTGTGTGTGTGTGTGTGTGTGTGTGTGTGTGTGTGTGTGTGTGTGTGTGTGTGTGTGTGTGTGTGTGTGTGTGTGTGTGTGTGTGTGTGTGTGTGTGTGTGTGTGTGTGTGTGTGTGTGTGTGTGTGTGTGTGTGTGTGTGTGTGTGTGTGTGCAGCTATTAGCCAATAGCTGCGAGAGTGTGGCTGTCAATGCTGAATATGCTAATAGCCTGACACCTGTTTGTATAAGAAGAGAGAAAACACACACCTCCCCGTCAAAAACTCCCACACAACACACGAGCAGAACTGATTTTGAAGCTTTGGGGCGAGGTTGGTGAAAATCATTGATGCGGAAAGATAAAATATAAAAGATGAGGAATGTGCTTTCTGCTAAAGGAGCAAGGCGGGAGTGTGAACAGGCTCTGATGTCTCCTCTCTTTTCTTTCTTTCTCTGCAGTGATGGAGCCCATGACGGTGACGACGTCGGTGGTCGGACCGGACGAGTTCGACCGCAACGCCCCGCGGATCTGCGGCGTGTGTGGCGACAAGGCCACTGGCTTCCACTTTAACGCCATGACGTGCGAGGGCTGCAAGGGATTCTTCAGGTGGGTGCTACGTCCCTGAGAGGAGAGTCCTTTGTTGCTTTCTGTGTTCTCTGAGTGTTATATTCGTACCACAACAGAGAATAAAGCTTTCAAATGAGTTATGGATTCTGTCTCCTATAGGCGCAGCATGAAGCGTAAAGCCTCCTTCACCTGTCCATTCAATGGGACCTGCACCATCACCAAGGACAACCGACGTCACTGCCAGGCCTGCCGCCTCAAACGCTGCGTCGACATTGGCATGATGAAGGAGTGTGAGTACACTTTTCCTCACCTTAGACATTACAATTGCATTTATTAAATGTTTTTGTAATGTAGTTGCACTTTGCCCTCTTGATACAAACGACAAAACTTGACACAGACCTAGAACTATGTAGGTTGAATCAGATTCAGTCATCTAAAGACACATTATACACATTTTAAGGTCCATATTTGTATTTTGTCATTCTACTGTGACATGTTTCCATGCTTTAATGTTCAAAAAGTTCTTAATTTTCTCATTCTGCCTGTGCTGCAGCACCTCTTTTCACTCTCTGTTTTGATTGGTCAACCGCTAACATGTGTCACGCCTCTTAGCCTATGATGCACAATGTGTTGGAGCACCAGCCAATACATGTGTGACTGTTACATAGTGATGTCACTATGTTGCTGAAGTAAACAAAGGAACAATGGAGGCGTTTCAGGCAGGGGGGGGGGGGAGTGTGTGAGAGAGAAACTCCCTCTGGAGGGAACTTTGGGATTTTAGCCTTTGCAGACCATTTACATGCACAGAAAACTATATGACACACTACAGGAAAGGGAAACCACATAAAAAGCTAAACAGGGCCCCTTTAAAAAAACGTTTACATTAAAGGACTTCTAACCAGATGTAATTACTACATAATCTCGTATAAAGTAGTTAAAAAATGAATTATTAGGTGGAAATATGTAACATCTTGTCCTCATCTTGACATTGCTTTGATGTTAGGCATCTAAAGCCCCTCCTGATGCTTCAGGACCCCTGCTTTCCTTGAGTCCGCAGCCATCGCTGCATGAAATACAGTTAACTCTTTATTATTTTTGTGCACTAGCCCAGACTGTATTTTTTTTAGCAGTGCCATTTTTACATTACTCATAGAGCCAGTTAGAGGACGGCCCCCTACAGTCTAATTTAATGAGCTGTTGTGTCTCGCTCACCTAAACCACCCCTCACCGCCCCAGTTTTAACATGTCAGGGTCCAATTAGGACAGTGGAGAAAAAAGAAAAAAAAGCTTGAATCCAGTTTTTAGATCAATGCATTATTGAAATCAACCCTAAATCTGAAATATTAATAATTTATTTTAGTCCTGTTTTTTTGCTGTTATTTTGTATTGTTGCTTTTTATAATCATTCTACAATTACACCTAACATACATTGATTATATCATCTTAATGTTCTTTTTTTTACTCCGTTTTAGTACTGAAAAAATCAATATATGCATTTTTAGATGTACCAACCGCCTGGAGAGATAAGTGTCAGGTTGGCTGGTGTAGGCAGTACACTGGCTTCCTGCATTTAATCTAATACTTAAAGAAATTCAGGGAGAGCAGCAGCCAATAGAAGCAATGGTCGGGTGCAAATTGATCCGATTTGAAACAATAATGGATATACACACAAAAAGGCAGGATGTGCCATATGGCAAAGTCAGGCGCGGGATAAATTAATTAAAGTTAATTTACTTAATTCTGCCAGATGGGGTTTCATTATTAATGTGGTGTAGATGGCATTAATCAAAGTAGTTATTTATCTTAAATTGATGTAAAGAGCATGGTTTTATGTTTGAAAGGCTGTTTGACGAGAGTCTGCTCTTACTTCTTTGTTATTCAGTTCCACGATGTAATACAAGTCGACAGGGGTTTGTGAAGGGAGATTGAGACATCAGCTCGATCCCATGTTAACACGAAATGACACATCGTGTCACAACTGATTCTAAGATAAATCTTCATTCTGCAAGCAAATTATCATTATCTGGTAGTTTATACTTTATCCGCTCTGCGTCACAGATTTATATGTCAAACAGTGAGGAAGCACCGTTTTTCTTCATAACATTGTTACAAATGTGCAAATGAATTTTAAACAAACCAGTAGGAAGTAGCACCAACAGTAGAGTATCAGCTTAACCGTGACAAGAAGTAGACAACAAGAGTGGAATGAGAGAGTGGGAAGGGAGGAAGGAAGGAAGCCAGGGGGGGTTAGGTCCTGTTCAACAATGGCTGTCTTTCTATCACTATCACATCACCCATTGGCTTGTGGACTACCGTTTCGAGGGCTTGGCAATTTGGCCGTCACCATCTTTGTTTTAGCAGTTCAAAGTGACAAGAACGGGTGAAGCCAATAGAACGCTAAAATTGATCTTTTAAGGTGACCAAAAAAGTAACCGATTAACTTTTATGAACCAAAACCAAACTGATAACGGTTAAAGTTAGAAGAAGATGAACACACAAACTACACCCAAACAGGACAACACATAAGCAAGGCCCTAAACATACCTTGCTTTATCATCTCATGTATTCCAAATGGGACCATAATTTACTAAATCATTATGCAACGGTCTATTAAGGAAAACGTGATGCTAAAAATTGAGACCATACACTCATTTGGATAATGTTTACTTAGGTTATAAATCTAGTGACCAGTAGGGTCATTGTTTCATAGACTTCTATACAATATCACGCGATGGCAGAGCGAACAGGTACAGGCAGAGTCCATAGTGATAGCCCTATAGTTTAAATCTACTACCAACAAATAAACATATGGACGTGGGTTACTATTTTTAAAAAAAAATGGTAAATGTATTTAGGAACCTATCCATGTGATTTTAAGTGGGGGTGGACCTCAAATCCTCTAGGGGGGTCCGGGGGCATGCACCCCGGTAGGATTTTTTTGTTAAATGTTGGAGTTAAATGCATCAATGTGGTGCACTTTCAGGGGAAAATAAAGAGACTAGATCTATGAGAACACCTATATGAAACAGAACTTTATACATTTCAATAATCATAAAATCAAGGCCATAACCAATAACATACCATTTCCAATATGAAAAAACACTGAAACTTGTTTATTTATTTATTGTTGGTTCATTTATAGTTGTGAGTGTGTCTGTGCTCCTTAACCAGCCTCTCCTGTCTCCCTCCTCTCCCCCTGCTCCTCTTTGAGGCAGCAGCAAAGACTAGTTTTAGCTCTCAACAAGTTGTAAAAGTTTATCTTACCTTTTTTCACCTACTTAACTTTTTTATTTTTTTTATTCATGCATATTTTACTAATCACTACCGCTCAAATGGAAATATGTGTTTAGATAAATGGTGACCAAAACATTTAAGACCCACTGAGAACTTAGACTAAGTTAACTATCTAAACACTCAGAGAGTGCTTTACCTCACCTGAGCTGAGGTTATCCTGAGCTTGAATGACACACAGAGACCAATCAAGGGCTTTGATTTATGATCTGTATGACAGTGGCCATGTCGGCAGGCCACATCATGTAGACAGCCAGTCACCCTGAGTGAGGCAGGCCACTTAACAGGCCAGGCCATCGGGAAAACCCCCGGTCCTCCCGATGGCCAGTCCGGGACTGGGTACAGGAGGCGTAGAGCGAGGGATCATTGTCCACAAGTTAATCGATCGCAGATGGTGTCGTGGTCGCGGACGAAAACAAATTAAATTAAATGGGTCGCAAAATATACTTGGGCGGCCGTTAATATACCTGGTCGGCCCGCCCAAGTATAGTCCAGGGGCCCTTCTCACTTCTCTTATTTTTCATTTCCTCGCTCCTCGGTCTCGGTCTCACCGGAAGTTGATTTGTCTGCGCCATCTTGAGTAGCGTCCCAATGGCCGTATTTTTGCCGGAGGAGCGAGGAGCGATAATGGAGGAGCTATAATCGAGAAACCACCAGACCATCCTTCGATGAAATCCTCAGACACTTGCCCCGCCCCCTTACTGTGTATCGCTCACTGATTGGACGATGCAGTGCATGCACTGATCTCATGCTTCTTGACATGAGAGCAGTTTCCCAGCGGAGTGAAGAAACATGAACCTCACGAGAGTCACTCCTCGGTTTATACCGTGTTTTGTTTCAATTAATATATCATTTAGTCACAAATATGTGATACAACAAAGTTGACAAAAATCATTTTATTCATTTTTTGGAAACATTTTCATGATCGCTTTTTTCGTTTTACATTTTCATTTATTGTCATTTCCATTCAGTCAGTCATTAAGTGCTATTAAAATATTAATGTGCTATATATCCACACAAACGTTAATCTAACTGGGTTTTGATAGATAACATATCTCTTTTTCTTCTCAATTATTTTATTTATATTGTGCACTCTAATCAATATTAATCCAACTAATGTTCGTTTAAATACATTTTAAGAATGGCGTTTATCTTTTTTGAGAATTAGTTCTTATTTTATTTAATGTATTGGGATCTACAACAGTTGATACAAATGTTTGTGTCAGTAAATGTGTACTAACAGAGGCGGGGGGGTGTGTGGAAATAACGGGGACAGAGCTGCTGTCAGACGATCAGCTGTGCAGCGTCATCACAAACGGACGTCGCTTCACGTGACGCTCCGGAGGAAAGGACGTCCCATTGCTCTTAAAACTCATTTCCCTGCTTCTCGTGGTTTCCTTGCGTCTCTCCATGCTTCCCTGGTGGGAGGGACTAGTCGCAGGGAAACGACGCAAGTGAGGGACGCAAGGAATCCATTTAACCGAAGTGAGAAGGGCCCTATGTGAGGGAAACCCTGCTCTCATGCAGAGATCCCACAAAAAATACAGAGCACTCACTCCGACACCCCCATAAGATCCAACAAAATAAAGGCCATGCACTTTGATCCTGGAAAAGCGACCCAGCTACCTACAACACTGAGGTGGCACAGCTTTACTTTTCACTGTGTCGACCACAAATAGCCACATGACACATGCAATGAAAATATAACAGGAGAACAAGCAGGATGAGAACAACTTGTCAGTACAAAGCAGTCTCTTTGTTTCTGACAGCTAGTTATCATGTCCGTGGGGTGAAGGAAACCCACTGTACTCACAGCTGAGTATCACAGCTGCTCGGCTCTCCTGCTTCTACACTGTCCAATTGTCCAATGCCCATTTTTTTTTTTTCCCACATAGAGAACTTCCAAGGCAACAGCTTTTTTCATATTCTGAATTGCCCGTACAAAACCTGACCTTCTGCAATAACAACACAAGAATGTTGCATTCATGCCAACTGCAAG